TTTCCATGATCCAAGTGAATCAGAAAACATAACTACAATTTTAATCATACTAGCTGCTCTTACATTCGATGTATTCAATTTTTGCATCAAAAGTAAATTGACTTAAATATTTTCGAATATTCAAAAGGAAAATGCAGCAACATCTCTAACAGCTGTGAGCAAAGGACTTAAGTTTGCGGAATGTTAAAAAAAAAAAAGAAGTTTGTAGACTTAAGACATATTCAGTTGTGATATCTTTCTTTATCAAAATGAATATGGTGGGCACTCAGGATAGATATATTTTGAGTCTTTTCTAATTCCTCAGAAATGAAGATATGGGCCTTAACAACACTTTCTTTCTATTGACATTTTGTGAAAGATCCTAAATGCAGTAAGTGGATTTCCCTCTCCTTCCCCAGACTAGTAACTGGTGGAATTGTGATGTTTGCTAAAATACTAGAGTAAACAAGTATTAAAGAATTGATCCCTGCAAAGAAAAGGAACAAAGCCACTTAATGTTATCTGTCAGAGTTACCAGAGGTAAGTGGAAGGCTTCAGTTCCGAAAAACAGATTCTTGTGCAGTAGGGAGTGGGGATGCTGGTCTTAATGCTTATTTTAGTGATTGTAAACATCCTGAAAACAAAGGCCGATGGCGGACACCTGCACTAATAGGAACTAGTAGGTACTCGTACTTAACATGCCCGGTCTTTAAAGATATTGTTTAGAAAATTGTTTAGTTTTTATCACAGTAGCAAAGGAATCACCACTTTGTAATTCTTAAATACTACGTTTCTTAGAGATTTTCAGATTGTATTATTTCTATCTTGTTAAGTTTATGTTGTCCAGTGTTCATATTGTTGTTTTGTTGATATTGTTGTATACAGAAGTGTCTAATTGAGTAGGAGCAATGGTTTTATTCCTGAAACTTAACTGAAAAGTATTAAATCCCTTGTATTACGCCCTGACAAGACTTTATGTGTAGTTTAAAGGTTTCTGGAGACAATAACTAACTGGAAGGGTGTGCCTAGCCTTCCTTTCTTCATGACTGCATTCATGTTGTACCGATGAGGGAACTTAAAATTGTACTTATTTGCCTGTTAGCATGACTATAAAGGGAGTGATGTAAAAAGGGAGACATAATTCAGAAAGAAAGACTTTGTGAATAATGAGGGTGATTTAAAGTGTACAAATTAGCTATACATTCTCCAAGTTCACCCTGTTTTCGTATTTAACTCATATTAATTCAACACTAAGCTTTGCATTGGGCAAATCTGCTGCAAAAGACCTCTTTAAAGTTTTAAAAAGCAAAGATGTCACTTTGAGGATGAAGGCGCACCTGACCCAAGCCATGGAATTCTCAATCACCTAATATACATGCAAAAGCTGGACAATGAATAAGGAAGAAGAAAGAAGAATTGATGCCTTTGAATTATGGTGTTAGCAAAGAATATTGAATATACCATGGACTGCCAGAAAAACAAGCAAATTTGCCTAGGAAGAAGTAAAGCCAGAATGCTCCTCAGAAAGACTTGTTATCAGGAGGGATCAGTCCCTGCAGAAGGACATCAAGCTTGGTAATGTAGAAGGTCAACGAAAAAAAGGAAGACCCTCAACGAGATGGACTGACACAGTGGCTGCAACAATGGGCTCAGCATAACAACTGTTGTGAGGGTGGTGCTGGACAGGGCAGTGTTTCATTCTGTTGTACATGGGTTCGCTATGAGCCGGAACCAACTCGAAGTCAGCTAACAACAACAAGCTTTGATTAAAAGAAAAATGTGCATGTATGCTAAAGTCAGATCATGATGATTAGTTTATACGAGTATATATAAAAATAAGAATCATAGATGCATGGGAGTGTGTGGAAAAATAAATAACAATTGTAGCAACATGAACATGAAGGAATATCAAAAGAGAAATTTCTATTCTCCCATGATTCTTGTAAGAACTACACTTAAAACATCTGGAAAAGTGAGATCAAGGAATTTGCCTGTGTTAATTGAAGATCTTATTTCCATTTTTGATTGTCAAACTAGAACATCAGTAAGTTCTTATTTCTTACAAATCCTCTTCAGATATTTTATATTACATATATTAACTTGTCCACCATGTGTCTTTCAGTTTGTCTTACTGTGGTGGTTTGCATGTTGCTGTGATACTAGAAGCTTTGCCACTGATATTTCAAATACCAGCATAGTCACCTTTGGGCGACAGGTTTCAGTGGAGCTTCCAGACTATGACAGACTAGGAAGAAGGACCTGGCAGTCTACGTCTAAAAGATTGGCCAGTGGAAACCTTATGAATGGCAGCAGAGCATTGTCTGATGTAGTGCCAGAAGATAAGCCCCTTGGGTTGGAAGTCACCCCAGATACGACTGGGGAAGAGCTGCCTCCTCAGAGTAGAGTCCACCTTAATGACATGGATGGAGTCAAGCTTTCGGGACCTTCATTTGCTGATGTGGAATGACTCAAAATGAGAAAAGATAGCTGCAAACATCCATTAATAATCGAAACGTGGAATGTACGAAGTATGAATCTGGGAAAATTGGAAGTCGTCAAAAATGAACTGGAACACATAAACATTGATATCCTAGGCACTAGTGAGCTGAAATGGACTGGTGTTGGCCATTTTGAATCAGACAATCGTATGATCTACTGTGCTGGGAATGACAACACGAAGAGGAATGGTATCACATTCATCATCAAAAAGAACATTTCAAGATCTGTCCCAAGTGCAGCGCTGTCAGTGAGAGGACAGTATTCATGTGCCTACAAGGAAGACCAGTTGATAGGACTGTTATTCAAATTCACCCACCAACCGCCAAGGCCAAATGAAGAAACTGAAGATTTTTACCAACTTCTGCAGTCTGAAACTGATCGAACATGCAATCAGGATAAATTGATAATTACTGGCCATTGGAATGTGAAAGTTGGAACCGAAGAAAAAGGATCCGTAGTTGAAAAATACGGTCTTGGTGATAGAAAGGAAGATCAAAGAAGAATTGATGCCTTTGAATTGTGATGTTGGCAAAGAATATTGAATATATCATGGACTGCTAAAAGAACGAACAAGTCTGTCTTGGAAGAAGTGCAACCAGAGTGCTCCTTAGAAGCAAGGATGGCGAGACTACGTCTCACATACTTTGGACATGTTATCAGGAGGGATCAGTCCCTGGAGAAGGACATCGTGCTTGGTAAAGTAGAGGGTCAGCAAAAAAAGAGGAAGACCCTCAACAAGATGGTTTGACACAGTGCCTGCAACAATGGGCTCAAGCAGAACAACTTTTGTGAGGATGGCACAGGAGCAGGCAGTGTTTTGTTCTATAGTACATAAGGTCGCTATGAGTCAGAACTGACTTGCCAGCATCTAACAACAACAACATATATTTCATGTAAGTGGATTCATACAATATTTGTCCTTTTGTGTCAGGATTATTTCACTGGACATATTGTTTTCAAAGTTCATCCATGTCATAGCATGTATCAGAACTTCATTCTTTTTATGGCCGAATAATATTCCATTGTACTTATGTCCCGGATTCAGTTTTTGCATTCATCCATTGATGGACATGTGGATTGTTTTCCACCTTTTGACTACTGTGAATAATGCTACAGTGAACATTGGGGTACAGATGTCTGCCTGAGTCCCTGCTTTCAATTCTTTTGGCATACACCTACGAGTGAAATTGGTGGTCACGTGGTAAATGAATAATTACTTTTACAATGATCAGCATAAAGCTGGTTCCTATGAGGCTGAGGTTAAAGATGTCCCAAATGTCCAACTTTTCCAAACTGTTGTACCACTCCATCATTTCTAACATCAACTACCTGTCTTCCCCTCACTACTCTCCCTCCCGTCTTTGTGTTCCATGATTCCCAGCAACGTCTCACAGAATTCACAAACCGTACTTACTATTACGAGGTTTATTAGGAAAGTAACAGGGTACAACTCAGGATCAGAATAACTTGGCAGTAACAGGAATAACTCAGGATGCAGTTCTTCAATCAGGTCAGCTTCTTCTTTCCCTCAGCGGCCAGGCCTTGCTGGGGGCCTTCTGCTGCCAGGCTCCTCTGGGGGCCTTCAGCCACCGAGCCCTGCTGGGGGCCTTGCTGCCACCAGGCCCTGCCGAGGGCCTTCTCAGGCAAGGGTTACAACTCTTAGCTCATGGGCTGGCAAGCTCCACAGCCGCTGTCTCATGCCAGTGCCGCTCTGGCTATTGCTGCACTACTGTCTCTCCCTGTCTTCTGTGTTACAGCTCCTGTCTCTCTTTGTGCCTCCCTTTAAGCTTAACAGGATGACAGAATGGACCAATCCCCTCATTAGGGTTCCATACATCTTATTTGCATGGTTCCACCCCAACAAGGGTGCCATGCACCTTATTTACATTATTAGCAAGCTATCCAATCCCCTTGGTGGGCCACAAGCACCTCATTTGCATATTCCTACCCAGTCATTTGGTGGGAGTTACAAAGACTATGGCTACAAGGGCCATATTAAGTAATTCACTTGGTAACTCCATGTTTAACTCTATATAACTTTATGTTTAACTTTTTGAGGAACCACCACATCGTTCTCCCCGGTGACTGCATCATTTTCCACAAGGTTCCAGTTTTCCACATCCCCACCAACATTTGTTAGTGTCCATTTTTCTGTTAACAGCCATTCTAGTGGGTATGAAGTGGTATCTCATTATGGTTTTAATTTGCATTTCCCTAATGACCAGTGAGGTGGAGCATCTTTTCATGTGACTACTGTCCATTCATTTATGTTATTTGGAGAAAGGTCTATTCATGTTCTTTGTCCAATTTTTAATTGAGTTGTTTGACTTTTTGTTGTTGTGTTGTAGGATAACCAAAAACCAAACCAAACCCATTGCCATCAAGTCAATTCCAACTAATAGCGACCCTACAGGACAGAGTAGAACTGCCCCATAGAGTTTCCAAGGAGTGGCTGGTGGATTCGAACTGCCAATCTTTTTGGTTAGCACCCAAGCTCTTAACCACTACACCAACAGGGCTCCAAAAATATGGAACGCTTCATGAATTTGCATGTCATCCTTGGGCAGGGGCCATGCTTAACTTCTTTGTATCATTTCAATTTTAGTATATATGCTGCCGAAGTGAGCATATATATATATATACGTATATTTGTATATATTTCTAGATATTAAACCCTTATTAGATATATGACTTGCAAATATTTTCTCCCATTCTTTGGGTTGTCTTTTCACTCTCCTGATGTCCTCTGATGCACAAAGTTTTTAAATTTTAAATGAAGTCCAATTCATCTCTTTTTCTTCTTTTGTTGCCTGTGCTTTTGATGACATTCTTAAGAAACCATGGCAAAACCCAAGGTCATGAAGATTTGCACCTATGTTTTCTTCTAAGAATTTTACAGTTTTAACTCTTAAATTTGGGTCTTGGATCCATTTTGAGTTAGTTTTTGTATATGATATGAGGTAAGGGTAAAATTCTTTTCTGTGGATACCCAGTTTTCCCAGCACCATTTGTTGAAGAGACTTTTCTTTTTCACGTTGGACAGATTTGACACTCTTGTTGAAAATCAGTTGACCATAGATGTGAGGGTTTATTTTGGGACTCTCAATTCTATTCCATTGGTCTATATGTTGATTCTTATGCTAGTACCACACTCTACTTTCCTTTTTTATTTCTTTTATAATCCATGTACTATTTAAAAGTGCGTTTAATTTCCAAATATTTAGGGTGTTCATAGATATTTATTGTTATTAATTTCTACTTCAATTCCATTGTGGTTGGAGAACATACTCTGTATAATTTCAGTTATTTTAAATTTAAGACCCCTTTATGACCATATGTGTGGCATATCTTGGTGAACATAGTGTGTGCACTTGAGAATCATATGCATTCTTCAGTCTTCGAGCGTAATGTTTTGTAAGTTTAAATTAGGGCGAGGTGGTTGATAGTGTGATTGAGATTGCCTGTGCCTTTACTAAACTTTCTGTCTACTTGTTCTATCAACTACTGGTAGAGAGGTAGTAAAGTTTCCTAATATGACTGTGGATTTCTCTATTTCTCCCTTTAATTCTGTCAGTTTTGCTTCATATATTTTGAGGCTCTGTTATTAGCTAAATACACATTTGTGAATATTATGTCTTTTTGTAGAATGGACACTTTTATCATTATTAAAGTCCTTCCTTATTACTAGTAATAAACCTTATTTTAAAGTATACTTTCCCTGATGACAATATAGCCACTCTAGCTTCTTATGCTTATTATTTATGCGTTCCATCCGTTTTCTGTCCATTTACTTTCCACCCATGGGTGTATTTATATTTTCAGTGCATGTCTTGTGCACAGCATGTAGTTTGACACTGCTGTTTTAATTTGTTTCGATCTCTGCCTTCCAATTGGAGTGTTCAGTCTTCGCATTTGATAAAATTGTCAGTCTGATTGGGGTCAGACCTGCGATTTTAATTGTTGTTTTCTGTGTACCTCCTCTGTTTCTGTTTGGTTTGCTTGTTTCTCTGTTCCCAATTTCTCTCTTCTTTTGTATTATTTGAATGTTTTTAGAATTTCGTTTTATCTATTGGCTTTTTAGCTGTACCCCTGTGCATTAATTTATTTTGTTTAGGGGTTGATATAGGCATTATTTTATACATCCTTAATTTTTCAGAAATCTACACAGAGTTAATAGTGTGATGTTTCATGTAAAATATAGAAACTTTGCAATCATATGGATTCATTAACCTTCAACCCTCCCTCCCCACACAATCCCTTGTGTTATATTTCCTGCATATTTTAGGAATCCCACAAAAGAATGTCATAATTTTGCTTTAACAATCATATATTTGTTAAAGAAATTAAGAGGGAAAATAATGAATTATATTTTCCTGATATTTACCATTTCTAGTGTTCCAGGTACATTTCTTAAGATTCAAGTTTCCACCTGATACCATGTCTTCTTCAGCCTGAAGAATTTTCCTTATCATTTTTGATAGTACAGATATTTTGCCTATGAACTCTCTTACTTTCTCTTTTTCTGAAAATGTTCCTATTTTGCCTTCATTCTTGAAGGATATATTCAGTGGATATGGAATTCTGGGTTGATGTTGTATTATTTTTTAATTATTTAATTATATATTATTTTAAAGATGTTGTTTTACATTTTCTGGGGCCATGTTCTTCCTCTGTATGTAATGTGTCCTTTTTCTCTAGCTACTTCCAAGGTTTTTTTTTTTTTAAAAAAAAATTTTATCTTTGATTTTCAACAGTTTTGACTATGACATGCCTTCCTGTTGTTTTCTTATGGTTTTCTTTATCCTCTTGAGAATCACTGAGCGTCTTAAATCTGTACATTTATATCATTCCAAATGAGGGAAGTTTTTGGCCATTATTCTTCAAATATTTTTTTCTGCTACATTCTCTATTTCTGGGACTGCAATTGCATGCATGGTAGATCTTTTGATATCGTCCTACAGATACCTGAGGCTCTTTTTATTTTTCAGTCTTTTTTCTCCCTCTTATTTAGGTTATTCAGGTTGGGTAATTTCTATTGATCTGTGTTCAAATTCACAGACTTTTTACTTTTATTTCCTATTCAGCTATTAAGCCCATACAGTGAAAGCTTTATTTCAGACGTCATACCTTGGTGTTCTAAAATTCCCATTTGACTCTCTTTTATATTATCTATTTGTTGAGATTTCCTGTCTTTCATTTATTGTGAGTATATTTTCCTTTACTTCATTATAAAAGCGTCCTTAGAGTCCTTGTCTGATCATTTCAACACGTGAATCATCTTGGAGTTGGCATCTGTTGATTTCTTTTCCCTTGAGAGTGGGTCATCTTTTCCTGGTTCTTTGTAATTTTTTACTGTTTCCTATACTTTGTGAATATTTTATCGTGGAAACTATGCATTGTGTTATATTCCTCTAAGGAGTATCGATAACTTCATTTTAGAAGGCAGTTAACTTGGTTAGACTCAGACTATAAACTCTGTCATATCTACAGTGGGCTGTGACTCAGATCTCACTTCTATCTGCTTCTGTCTGGCTTATTCCTGCATGGTTCAGGAGTCAGCCAGGAACTTGAACAGCATTTAAATGTAGAATTTGGTACTTCCCTTCTCAGGCACTTCCTTCCCATGGCTCCCCCTTCACTCTGTGGCATCCCTGGTTACCCCAGGCTCCTTCGTTGTTCCTCTCTCCAGAAAGACAGCAGGCTTTCTGTCAGGGGATTTGTCACCTTGCGCCATTGCCATGCTTGCGGCGGCCCTCAAGACAACCCCTCAGAAGTGGAGAACTTGCCCTGTGTTGATTACTTTCTCCCAGTTTTAATCCCCTCCAAAATTCCTGTTTTTGTTTCCTCTCCAGAGCTCTAAGATGGTTGTTGTTTCTGTTTGCTGATATTATAGCTGTTATCTGTGAAAGAGTTGATTTGTCGGGAGCTTACTGCTTCATACTAGAAGCAGCGCTCCAACTAGGAGTGATTTTTCATTCCCTTGTTTTCCTCACCTTTCCTCGGATACCCCTCCCTCTGCTCCTTTATTAAATCAGCGAGTCATTTGGCTCTATCTATAAAATATATCTCTAACCTGACCTTTTTACTTCATTTTTAACACCATCTACCACCATTATATTCATCTTGGACTCCTCCAACAGCCTCCTAACCTGTCCTTTTTCTTCCACTTGAGCCTGTACCACTTACTGGTCCCACAGCAGCCAGAGTGAGATAAAGTGTAAATCAGATTTTATTATCACCCCTTTTTTAAAACCTGCCAAGGACTCCTTCAAGTCACCAACTGACCATCCCTCCTACCTAACTTTCAGAACACATCTGGTCCTCTCCTTCCCTCACCACAAGCCATGCTAACATTCTTTCTATCACTTAAACACGCCCAGCTCATATCCAACACAATGCCTTTCCTGCTAGCTCTCCCTGCTGTCTAGAAAGCTTTTAGTCCTTTGAGTGGCTGGATCCTTCCCGTCACTGAGACATCTGCTCATATGTTACTTTTCATAGAGATATTCCCCACCGTGCTATGTGTGGTATTCCTAGTCATTCTCTATCCCATAATTAAGTTTATTTTCTTCATAATGCTTATCATCACCCCAAGTTATCTTATTCGGTTACTTGCTTATTGTGTGTCTCACTTGAGGAGAATGTCGGCTCTACGCAGGCAGAGAACTTTTGTGTCTTCATCCCCCCTGTATCCCTAGTACCTAGAAATTTGGTGCCTGTTATAGAATGGACACTCAATAAATATTTGTTTTTTGAATACCGAATCTGCTGATCGGGCTTAGCATATTATTTCTTGAGCCTCCCATTCCTTATCTAAGAAATTTGAGTATTATATATGTCATGTAACTGTTAAAAGGATTAAATGATTAAACATTTAAAGAACATAATATGGCTTTTTTGTTTGTTTTTGTTCTTGTTGTTGTTTTTAATACGGTGACTGGTTCCTAGTAGTTACTCAAAAAAACATTAACTCAATGAGAGTCTCCAAAAAGAGAGGCATCTGGCATGCCCTTTTATTCAGAACAAGAAAAGTGTTTTATTTTAAAAAGGATTATGCCACAACTTTGAGAGAGAGAACAAAGGAAAAGAACCTCAGAGCGCAAACTTATCAACAGAGATCTCAAACTTCATCCAGGCCTGGAGGCTCTGTGCCATCTGGCTCAATGAAACGATGGAAGAAATCACAAATCTCAGTGAACCAAAATGCATCCATCCAGTCCTTCATTTATGGATCACTCCAATTTTAGAAGAAAAGGAGAAAATCACTAAGAAGCCATGTTTGTAATGAGAGTTGAAAGCTTTTTGGCTTATTCTTTTTCATTGTGGCTGCGTCGTGGAGCCAGTACCTCTACCTTCTTCATCCACCTGATGCATCCCAGGTTAGCCCCCGAGGGCTTATCTGTAGCATTCTCTCTCCATGACTGCCCCAGTAGAATTCACATGTGCCCTCAAAACACTTTTTCAAACATTGATTGCCCATTATATTGTAATTGGTTATATGTTTATCCTTTCCTCCAGACCGTAAGCTTCTTAAGTGGAAAATACCCCAACTCATCCTTGTTTCATCGACTCCTAACACTGTTACTAGAACATGGCAGTCACTCACGACAGTCACCATGATGAGCACTC